ATATTAACTACCTCACCCTCACTCACCCTCATTTGTATGAATATTAATTACCTCATCCTCACTCACCCTCATTTGTATGAATATTAACTACCTCATCCTCACTCACCCTCATTTGTATGAATATTAACTACCTCACCCTCACTCACCCTCATTTGTATGAATATTAATTACCTCATCCTCACTCACCCTCATTTGTATGAATATTAACTACCTCATCCTCACTCACCCTCATTTGTATGAATATTAACTACCTCACCCTCACTCACCCTCATTTGTATGAATATTAATTACCTCATCCTCACTCACCCTCATTTGTATGAATATTAACTACCTCATCCTCACTCACCCTCATTTGTATGAATATTAACTACCTCACCCTCACTCACCCTCATTTGTATGAATATTAATTACCTCATCCTCACTCACCCTCATTTGTATGAATATTAACTACCTCATCCTCACTCACCCTCATTTGTATGAATATTAACTACCTCACCCTCACTCACCCTCATTTGTATGAATATTAATTACCTCATCCTCACTCACCCTCAAAAATCCGGCCCCATCGACCCCTATATTACTACTCACACGCCTTTATCCAATCAGGTTAAAGAAATATAGCGATAGCACACGTCAGTAAATTGTAAATCGGAACTATTTTTTAAAAAATAAAACAGCAGCTTTTGCATTTTAATATTGCAAATGACAATTATTGAATTAGAAAGTCAAACCGGAAGCGTACATTTCGTGCGATTTTTCTCTTTACTCACATTTACGATTTGTTTCCCAACAACAGGCTTGTTGAAACTTGTTGTGATAGGACAATAATCGTTTGTTGTGGACAGTTTTGGCGCAGGTCTGATTTACTTATATCTTAATTTTGACTTCCAAATTATTTTCAATAATTTAGATGCTAATGAATGTTTGGACGATCCCTGTCACCAGAATGCCACTTGCGTTGATATAATTGGTTCATTTGATTGTGTTTGTAATGAAGGATTTGTAGGAGATGGTATTAACTGTGAAGGTATATGTAAAGTTACATCAAAGCTAGAAATACAAATCGAGAATCATCTTGCATTTTTAAACACCCCTATTTATGCCGGTTTTCCATTAGGAGGAATTTTGCGCGCGGAGAGGAATTTTTCTTTGTCTTTTCTAATTAGTTCCACCCGAGAAATCGCAATACAAAATTCCGCTTCGCGCGCAAAATTTCCCCTAATGGAAAACCGGCTTTACTCCCTGACAAAGATATTGCATTGTACTGCCAAAGCATAATTGTGTTGAGAATTTCAATTTTCCCTTACGTACATTCATTTTTCTTTAAAAATAGTGATGAAAGATAGTATACATGCAGGAATGTCGAGTTCAAAATATAAAACACCTTTGAAGGACATTAGCACAATTTTTATTCATAACTTATGTTTGTGAAATTGTAAATCTTCCAAAATTTATTTGGCTTCTCCGAAAATTTCATTGCGGTTAGGTGCTTTTCCGTAAATTATTTCAGGTAAAATCCCGAAACTAAATATAACGTTTACTCGTACTCTTATTCTATCCCTAATTCAGAGTTTTCTGATTAGAAATTTTCAAATAATAATATTAACAATAATGATAATCCATTTCAGCTTCCAACTGCAGTATTCTTTCCTGCGGAGAAAATGAAGAGTGTATCCAGGAAAACGATATCTTTAAGTGTGTATGTAAGGATGATTATGCAGAACCCGATTGCCGTCTGGGTACGTGTGCAATTGCTGCTTTGCTTATTATTTCCTCGTTACCGATCCTTCTTTCAAGCCCTGTTGGATACATGTGAGATCGCCGCTTAGTGAAATCATGTATTCTATTTTCTGGTGTAAATAAATGGCTCGCTCTATTGTTTGTGTGTATGTTTTACCAAATTGCACTTTACTTCTTGATTGATATTATACATGAAAAATGTATTATTATGCAGAATAACTTTTATCGTCTGTTGCATATACAACATGCGAAATAAATCCTGCATACTCGCTCATTTGAATGGATCAAGAACTTAACACAATTTCTTAACTGTCATAAGTCAAAACTCTAATCAAAATGTCTTTTGTTTAAGCCCTTCCCACGTAATACTATTTCTTATAATGACCTAAATTTCGTTTTTGGCACTCTTTTTCAATGCTCTTAGAAAACAACATTTTTTCTATTTATGTTTCTTCATACGAAACGCGCAAAATTGTTGTGCTTTGTTTCAAAATTGAGCGGCAAAGTATTAAATTTTGATTAGTCATAATTTAATTTAATTATTTACAAAATCTAACAGTTGAAAGAACATGCCTAGCAAGAGGTGATCCACACTACTCGACATTTGATGGAAGACGTTATGACTTTATGGGTACATGTGAATATGTTCTTGCTAAAGACAGTAGAAATAACACATTTGAAGTAAGACAAGTGAATGAACCATGTGGAAATGGAGAACCTTCCTGCACAAAATCTCTAACAGTGATTTTCCCAAATGTGACTATCCAACTACTGCGGGGAAGTGTGATGTTAAATGACACAAAAATTGTTTTGCCTGCAACGTATGGAGGTAAGTTCTTTCAAACTGCATACTACATATACAATATACATGCTTTAAGATTTGACGTTCAGGCTAAAATTGCATTTTGCAAAATTAGTGCAATATTCTTCTGTTTCTAAAAACAGTAATTTCAAAAAGGAAGTTTATCATATTCCCACTTTATATTTAAAAGAAGTCAATACCATTCTCCCTAGTATTGGTCGATATACTGTTGCAAACCGCTGCTTCATAATTGATCAGTAACTTATAACAGACAGTTATTTTGCTAATAAATCTGAAAGTGGGTAATATTTAATAGCAATTTTCGATCCTTTATTTTTTGTATAAAGGTGTGACAATAACTGAACCAAGCAACAGAGTAACGTTGATTGAAAGTGATTATGGTGTAGAAGTTGAATGGAATAATGTACGTAATGTGAGAGTGACAGTGCTTGGTCGCTATCTGAATAGAACATCAGGTTTATGTGGAACATTTAATGGAAATCCTGGAGATGATTTCTTAGCAAGAAATGGAACAACTGTTGACAATGCTGTAACCTTTGGAAATTCTTGGAAAACTGAACCTGGTTGTGGTGATGCAGCAGATGTAGAACATCCATGTGTAACTCACTCGGACAGAAACGCGACTGCTATAGCCAACTGTTCAGCTTTGTCATCTGCTCCATTCCATGTCTGTGCAAGCCAGTTTAATCCAGATTCAGAGGGTTATATTACCGATTGTGAGTATGATGTATGTGCTTGTGGTGATGATCCTATAGTTTGTCTATGTCAAGCAATAGAGGCTTATGTCAGTGATTGTAATTCAACTGGAGTGGATATTGACTGGCTGAGTGATCCACGATATCAACAATGTGGTAAGTGATCAATCTAGTTGAATTTCATCGCCAAGTTCTATTGAAAATTTTGGAGGTTTGGAAACTCAAATTTTATAATTATTATGCGGAAATTCCGAGTTTCACATATCAATGCACATTGGAAGAACGTGAAATGTTCCAATTCTTTGCACATAACTTCACATGTGAAATACTGAGTAAAATTTTTATCATGAATATCAAACTCAGTGTCAGACTGTTCGATGCAATGAAAAATGATGAGACCTTTTACGTGAACGAAAATATGTGGCTATTTAAAGACGACAAAGAAACTCAAGTTGTTCGAATGATTTCAATAAGGCCATGGTTTATACCCATGTTGTTCATTAGTAAGCTGAAATGCATTGCAAATTGTATGGCCATATATCAGTTGTTTGCGAGTGTGTTAACTCACTGGCGATTCAAGCGGGGTTTTTTTTCGTACAAATGTTTCTCCAAATATTACTACTAAAGAAAACTACCAAAGGAATGTCTTAGAGTGGAAATGCTAAACATTTATTAACAGAAATTTTAACTGTTTTAATCTGACTTAGGTTCGCCATGTGCCAGTGATCCATGTTTCAATGGTGGGACTTGTTCAAACGATGGACAGTCATTCTCTTGCTCATGTCGCGTTGGATATAATGGTGACCGCTGCGAAATCGAAGGTACAAACATTATTTTCAAGAACGTACTGGATGTGTTGTGTAAATTGCATATTACTGTTTAGTATACATTTGTATACAAATTGAGCTTTAGCGCGTTCTGATTGGCTAGTTGACTAGTAACTCTGACGCATTATTTAGCACGAGACCAGTAAATAATGCTTTTCAAAAAGAATGATTCCAGGGCATTTTTTAAGAATTTGTCAGATGGCGGGCGGCCATCTACAAAAAGGGACCATACTATACGGAGCGTGGAGAAATGATAGATGATTTTTGGTAAGAAAAAGTTTGATGTGGTATCGCATATAATAGTAGAGGGTCCCAGAAAATTATTGTATTTTTCTACCCCTAGGACTGCAATTCCTGCATTTTCTGAAACAGATTTTTTGATATACAGCATTACATTATGCTGTAGACAGACTGAACCTTCAGTGAAGTACTTGCATGGTATGTTTATGTAGATAGCACAACTTGGTCACTCAGGGAGCCAGCTTGATAAACTTAGAGGGCCCGACTCCCACGAATCGTCACCATGGTTTGCACAGAGCGGAAAAATTTTGAAAATTTTGCGTCTCTAGATCGTTGGAAATGGCATTTTCAAAGTCTTCTCTAGCCCTTTCATTCATTCTTTCATTATGATTTGTGAGTCTATGCTATCCGCGAGTCAGGATGGATTATTATGAGAAATATTGTTACCAAAATATCGATTACAGATATTTGATTATATATATATATATATATATATATATATATATATATATATATATATATATATATATATATATATATATATATATATATATATATATATATATATATATATATATATATATATATATATATATATATATATATATATATACGATTTCAAATACATCTAGTTTCGAAATCAATTGGTTTTATTTGGGAGGGGGCGAAAATTATTCCCCCCCCCCCCTTATAAAACACTGGGTTGGGGTCCCGTTGCTCCCTGCTTCCTACGCCCCCTGTGGTCATTAACTTGTTTAGCCGAGCCTTCCAACAACTTAAATCTATAGGGTCGGGATATGCAATCCACTGGAAAATGTTTAAAATCCAATTAGGTATTTACAACACAATGTTTAGCATTAAAGATAAAAAACATGACATAAGATTCACAAAGCAAATTTCAGGTACTAGAATATCAAATCTCCCTTCTAAATTTCATATTTTCCCTATATTTTAGAGAAAAGGGACTTTGGCTGGGTGGGGGGGAATGGTTCAGTGGGGGCCATCGTGGGAGCTGGGGGGAGGGGGGCTGTGGCCCTCCCAGTTGTATAGTTAAAAAATGCCCTGAATTATTCGGCAAATTTGAAAAAAAATATTGAAAAAAGTCGTCCCCAGAAAACGAAAGAAGCACAAAATGTTGTATTTAACTTGAAAGGTATGTTTCCTTTATTATTTTACTGTGTCAAACATATTCACGGACAATTTAAAACTTATTTAAAACTCCGAAAAATTAACTTCAAACAAATAGAAAAAACTATCTCGACTGTTGCCAAAAACCTTGCCGTGATATTCTTTTAAAACTATTTTGTTTTGCATCCTATAGATATCTCAATTGATGATTCCCATTATTACGTTTTCGTAGCGCTTTGCATTGTGGTTATAGTGGTATCACTGATAAACACGTTGGTCAAATTTGGCAAAAATTTCTCCCACTCGTGCGGGCTCGTAGTGTCAGCGGACATCTTACAGAAAGTGTCCAGTTCTTTGAAAAATGAAAAAAATTCAATTTTTCACCGCAATTCCCCTGAAAATGCGACTATGCGAGCCTGCGGTACTGGGAGAAAATTTGCTGAATATGACCATTTATGACGACCGTGAAATATAGCGGCCTCGAATGAAAATATTGAATGTTTTCGCGAATATTTTGCTGTTGGCTATCGCGCACCTGACCCTAGCACGTGTCAGGAGAAGAAATAAGCCATCCTGAATATCAGTGATACCACTATAACCACAATGCAAAGCGCTACGAAAACGTATTAAGTGGAATCTAGTATTCATACTATTTTTTCATATATCATGTTTTCGTTGTATGGCCTCCTGACGCTATATTGTGTTTTCGAAACTTGTAAAGTGAAAAGTGTATTACAACTTTATTTCGAGGTATTCGAGCAATTATAGTTTTACATTCCATTTTACCAAATTTCTCAGCCATTTCCTGAACAAATACTATTTTCTAATTCTAATTGTCTGTTGAAAAATTCATTCCATCATTGTGTTTATATTCTAAGCAGATATCGAGAAAAAACAACTTTGTTAAAAGCAATAAAGTCACACACGAAGCCATATATTTTGAAAACGTGTGTGTAAAAGAAACACTGCAGCACTAAAATTACAGCAGCCGTGAACCGGTCAAAAACAGTTTTATTTCTGAATTTTAATTAAACTGATATTTGGATGTTTTGTTTTTTTCATTAAAATGTTAAATATTTTCTCTTTTCTGATTTGTTCCCCAGAAATAATTTTGCAGAACGGTATTTTAATTTATTTCATAACAAACAATAAATGTTTCATGTAATTGATCATTTGCGTAATAGACTAAATTTTGATCTAAACAAGTCTAGACAAAAATTTCATCACAGCTTGAAAGAGCATCACAAAATTAGTAATATTCCAACGTTTCGTTGCGAAATGTTGTAAAATGCGGAAAATATAGCCTTGCGAAGTTTGCAATTTTCCGTCATTTTAGATTACAACCCCAAAATTTAGTCTATTATGCAAGTGGTCAATTATTTACTTATTTTCTAAAAGTAGGCTAGTTTGCTTATTTTTCTGTTGTGGTTTTTATATTTAAAGTACAGTGCCTATATCACTTGTGGGACCTTTATGGATTTGAAAAGAGCGTTAAAAGTTAGCTAATAAGTTCAATTTTAATGCAATAGTTTTGAGGATATAGTCATTTAAACAACCGACTGTTCCAGAGTCCCAGCCTCCTGGGGTCTAAACACGGCTATTGAATTTGGCCTTTTTCCAAACTGCCATTGTGCATAGGAGCCTGGGACTCAGGAACTGTAGGTAGTTTGGAGGCCTGTATCTTCGAAATTATTGCACTAAATCAAAAAAATCTGTTGAACTTATTAACTAACTTTTTACGCTCTTTTCAAATCCATAAAGGTCCCACAAGTGATATAGGCACTTTAACTTAAAATTTTAATTGTGTAGTATTTCTATCCTGTTGTTCTTTTATTGATTACTTCATCATTTTATTTTAGCTTGCGTACACTTTCTTGCTCTTTCACTTTTATCCACTGGAAAAATTTTGAAAATCCATATAAGGTCATAGATTGCAAATTGTATGGAACTTTATTGGAAATAGAATGGATTTTGATGAACCTTAAGAATTGATGATCCTTAATAAATGAAAAATGGATATTTTCATAAAATTCTTTAAAATAATCGGGATAAACAACAAATCAAATTCCTTATTTTTGGTACTTTTTTCTGATTAATTCCCGTAAAATCAGAAAGTTTTAAAACAAGTTTGCAAACCAACATGATTTACATTCATCAACAGTTTTTCTAAGCGGACATTAAAATAGGGTCAAAAAAATTTTCTGGTGGAACATTGCCTAAACTAAGTTACAAAGAAAATTTTTCCGGACAAATTCCTATTACAACATGGGTCAACCCCTTTTTTTTTCGATCAATCAATGTAAAATTTTGCTTTAGAAATTTTTTTCTCATACCATTGTTTCTATAAAAAACGTTCGAAATTTTTTTTTTTAATTTTTGCAAATTTGGTGGCCCCCTTAAACTAGGGGCCCGGGGCAAATTTCCCCCAGCGCCC